AGTAAGACTACACCTGGAATATTGCAACAATTTTGGTCACTATATTACAAAAAAGACTTTGGAAAAAGTTCAGAGAAGAGGAACTAAAATGATCAAAAAGGCCTGGACATTAAAACATAGAAAGAACAGCTGCAGTATTTGGGTTTGGCTAATCTAAAGAAAAGAAGGACTGAGGGGACATGATAGCAGTTTTGCTGTCTCTCTAATTTTCTGTCTGAATATAGAGACAGTTAGTTAAACACTACAAAGGCTTCCATACAAAGTTTCTTTATTGGATCTTATTAGACATCCTCAAGGTATAACTCACAGTTACGTTGAGATTCATCTAATGTCCAATCTTTGCATTGTTGTCTTCATAGTGTGAAAAGATGGTTATCTTCATCCCATAACGATACAGCAAGGAAAGCTCCAGCACAATGCTGGGTCCTGGCAAGAGTGAACAAAGGCTCCCCCCAATCCAACTAGAGGTCAATTCAGTGACCAATCAGGATTACAGATGTGACCACATGACATGAACTACATCTCCCATGAGGCATTAACTACATTTCCCATGAAGCATTCCCTTAAGGGGACAGCTCTCAATTCCCAACTAACTATATACTATATAACTCTAACCAGCACACTAGCACACTCCCTGCCTGGAATTACAAATTCCACTACCAACTAATTATCAACCAAAGTAAAAAACTAAAGTAAACAGTAAATAGCATCAAACAATGCAATGAGATAGATACAAAGCATGCAAAGCTTGAGGTTCAATCTTCGAGTTCAGCAGTAGCTTTCCTCCCCACCATGCGTTGTGCAGTGCTCACCCCGGCTCCGGGTGTGACTCTGTGGCACGCTGAGACTCCTTGGTCAAGGGAGGGATAGGAGTTGTCTGCTATGGTGGCTCAGAGTCTGGATGCAGAGTGGCTGGGTGCTCGTTGCTGTTGCATAAGTAACATTGCACCTTAGCTGTGCAGTCTTTGGCCATGTGTTCCATAGACTCGCAACACTTGTAGCAGAGTTTGTACTCCCTAATCAAAGCTTTCCTTTGATATAGGGGTTTCTTTCCAAATACTTTGCACCTGTTCAGCAGGTGCAAAGATTTGTGGAGTGGACAAATCTGGTCTTTCTTTGTACTCAGAAGACTATATTGGGTTGTCTCTGATGGGTTTTCACCCATATTCTGAACGGGTGAGGTAACGATCCCCGTTTTATGTGTAGACATGAAGGATTTTCCCTTTGCAGTTTGTGCCAGACCCGTGGACGGTGCAGAGTTCCTGCTAGCTCTTTTGTCAGTTGGTGAACTATCAGCTCTGAGTCTGGGGGTCCAGGGGTCATTGCACATCGTTGCCTGGTGGGCCACAAATTCTTCAAAAAGGGCAAAGGGAGGTTCTTTGTTTTGACCATTGGCCCTGAAGGCCTCAGTCAACTGGATCCATTGTTCAATTAACAGCTGCGGTAATTTTCAAACGATTTTGCTTTGCATTTCAAACTGGTTAAGACAAGCGAGTCCCAGCAAATCGGGATCCTTTTGTGCTGCTCTCAGCTGTTTAAGTATGTTAGAGAATTCCCTGAGCTGGCTAAGTTCGTTGAGACTGATTTTAGGGAAGCTGTTGAGGTGATCCAAGAGTGAGGATTCCACCTCTGTGGGAGCGCCGTACTCCTTGTCAAGTCTCTTCCATGTTAACCGAAGGGCAGCGTCTGGGTCTCTTATGTGGGCTCTGTAAATGTCCTTCACTGCTTCTGCAGACTGCGGCCCCAGTCATGCTATCAAATGTATGAGTATTTTGTCAGGCTGCAGGATTGTGGCCTGAATGATGCACATGAAGATACTCTTCCATAGTAAATATCCTTTGCCTGGCTTGTCAGAGAATTGTATACACCATTAGCAGCCAAATCTAGCTTTCTTCTCCTTAGTGCCAATTCTCTCCAGAGTGCTGGATCACCCACTGAGGTTGCATGGGGGTTGTAGGTAAGGTGCATTGGTGTGGTGAGGTCTCCCTTGGGATTCTTGTAGACTTGGTCTGGGTTGTGTTTCAGCAATGGCCCATAGTCTTCTTCCCTGTACTTCCTGAGGAGGTTGTCCTGCCGTGCCATATGCAGTGGTTGTGCTTCACGCTGCTGGACAAGCCAACCGCGTTCATCTTGTATCTCTGAGCTCAAATTGTGTTGAGGTTGTGGCAGGAACTCAATTGATCTTGGGTTGAGCTGGGGAGTTGCTGCTTGATGTATGTCTCCTTGCTGAGAAATCTTCATTGTTACCGGTGGGCTGATTTGCTTGCCCTGTAAGTCTTGAGACATTGGGGTAGGTTTTCTGTTTTCGGGGATAGAGTCTCGAGTTTTAGGTCTTACAACATCAATTTTTTGACTGGTGTTTAGATCCTGTGGTTGATATTCTCCCCCTTGATCCCCTGGTTTTGGGAGAATGCTAACTAACTGTGCCAGTTCCGCCTGCTCGTGCCCTAGCGAGTACTGCTCATCCACATAGGCCTTGACACGTTTATCTGGGCTCTCTCTCTCCAACTTTCCAAGATTGAAGTTGAGGGAAGCTTTGTCGGCCACCTTCTGCAATGCTGTGGTTCGTGCTATCTTTGTTGCCGTCTCCCATTGCCGTTCGAGCAACTCCAATTTGGCCTGAGCTTTGGCCAATTCTGCTTATTGGCTGGCCATTTCTGCCTGTTGGTTGGCCTGAGCTTTGGCCTTTTTTCTTGCTTGAGCTGCTACTGCCTCCTTCTGCCATGTCACCTCCTCTGTTGCATGTAGAGCTGCCTTCGCTACTGCAGCTTCGATTTGAGCTTCAGCAGCTCGTTCGGTGTAACTTGCTGCTCCTGAGGCCTTAGATGTGTTGCTGTGATGGGAGGATGCTCTGGAAGGATGGGAAGAGCTAGCAGTAGAGAATTGCTGTGAGACACTGGAACCTGCCCAAGATCTAGTTGGCTTAGGATGGAGGGAGGAGGCTTTCTCAGAATAGCGGGAGGAAGCTATGCATGATCAAGGGGCTATGTCAGATGTGGCCCTCTCCCTCGACATTTCTTCCAGCTGTAGCACATCATGGAGCGCTGCCTGGAGGGAGTCTTTGTCTCTCTGAACGTAGTCCTCGCATTCCTTGTTTAACTCCTTGAAGCATTGTATGTGCTCTTGGAGCTTTGAATCACCCAGCCTCAATGTCAGCCTTCAAGATTTCCTTCCTTTGCTTTGCATCTTTTGGCTGTCATAAGTAATGAGGGGAGGAGTGGGGACATAGTTATGGGAAGCAAGCTGGAGGTTTTACAAAAAAGAACTGTATAAGTTGGGGGGGAGTTTCTTGCTTATGTTTCTTTCCTATGCTATGTGCAAGCGCTGCTCTTTATCAAAATATGTCAAGGTCAATGGACAGAGGCCTCATCACCACCCACATGATGTTATATACAACTTTTTATTGGATGGACAGTTTAAACTATTGTGGGTGGGAACGTTGCCATCACTTTGTATATGTGATTTACGCGCTCATTTTCTCAGATTCAGAATTCCTTTGATGCTACCACTTGATTTCCAGTAAAAGGTATCTTTTCTCTAATTAATGGAGTCTAAGTATTTCTTTCTTGGATTTTGAATGGAGCACCAGCTGACATTATTCTGAATCTCAGTTTAGCAGCCCACCTGGAGAATTAATAAATTTCTTCTGAGGGGGTCTGAACACAATGTCTAATCCAGCCAGCGACCAAGAAGACCTGGGAGTGACTGGAGGACCAGCTTCCCTGCTGTTAGAGGAGGCAGGGGAAGCTGAGTTGTTAGCAGAACTACATCTTGATGAAAAACCAGTTGTAAAGCCCAAATGGTCTCTGGGAGTCGGCTGGAAGAATCCGGAGGAAGAGCCCCCTCCAGCATGATGCTGGGGTCCAGGTAGGAATGAACAAAGGCTCCCCCCTACCCAACTAGAGGTCAATTTGTGAACAATCAGGATTACAGATGTGACCACATGACATGAACTACATCTCCCATGAGGCATTAACTACATTTCCCATGAAGCATTCCCTTAAGGGGACAGCTCTCAATTCCCAACTAATTATATATACTGTCTAACCAGCACAGCAGTATTCCAGTATTTAAGGGGCTGCCACAAAGAAGAGGGGGTCAAATTATTCTCCAAAGCACCAGAGGGCAGGACAAGAAACAATGGTTGGAAGCTAATCAAAGAGAGAAGCAACATGGAATTAAAGATAAAGTTTTAACAGTGAGGACAATTAGCCAGTGGAACAGCTTGCCTGCAGAAATTGTGGGCGCTCCATCATTGGATGTTTTTAAGAAGAGTCTAGACCATGGGTGTCAAACTTGCATAGTCACGGCAGCATCACATGATATATCATGACTTTTTTCCCTTTCGCTAAACCGGGCATGGGCATGACCAGCACATGACACATCCAGCCCAAGGGCCACAAGTTTGACATCCCTGGTCTAGTTACTTATCTAAAATGGTATAGGTTCTCCTGCTTGAGCATGGGTCTGAATTAGAAGACCTCCAAGGTCCTTTCCAGCTCATTCTATTCTATTTTCTATTTTTCCCTCCGCCCTTCCTCATGTAAAGCAACCAGCGCAACATGTCTTATTAACTCTTTGCTTAGATATTTTGTTTGTTTGTTTGTTTGTTTTAAGCTTACTTCAAGTACACCAGTCCAGAAATTAAATGGAATTTGCTTCTGTTACCAGGATGCTCGGTAGAGCTGATCCAGGACCAGGCCAAACCTTTGTGTGGAATTATTAAGTGCAATATGGCAAGATTGGCCCAACTAATTTTGGCACAGTAGATCTCCTCTGAATGGGGCTATTAAGGGAGTTTTCATGGAAGGGAGGATGGATGGGAAATGTGTCATCTGCTTTTGGGTGGCAGCAGAGGTAAACTAGGTGAGCAGTCTGGATTAAGTGCAACCAACTTCAGCCACCCACACAGCACAAAGCAGCCTCTGGGTTATTCAAACAGGATGAAGTGAGATTATTATCATGTCACAGAAGATCACGTGGGGATTTGCAGAGCTGAGGGAGCAGGAGAGGAAACCAGTCACAGAGATGATGAAGGAGGGCTAGGTTGAAGACGAAGGGCAGCTAGAAGCCAAGGTACTTAGGGAAAGGGGGTTGTGCAAGGGGAGAATCTGGGTCCTGGATAAAAGCTAAGCCCTGAAATACTAAAAACAAAGAATATTTCCTTACTCCTTCTGATAATTACACAGGGCCTTGCAATGGTGGCAGTGGTGGCAGTGATGGTGGTGTTGGGAAATAAGAGCATGTGGGCACAAAGGAAGTGGCGGGGTTAAGCATGAGCCCAAGGGGGAAATTCTTAGCTTTATTGTTGCCATGCCTCTTGTCTATCTTTGTGTTATTAGAGTCTATGTTCATTTCTGCACATAATCTACTGCTGGGGCTGCAAGATACTTTCCATTCCTCTCTATTCAGCAAGGTCCTGTGGCTCCCTGATTTATCAAGTAGCACAAGATCAGTCTAAGAATCCCTACATAAAGATGCTCTAGATAAATCTGCTCTGTAGGCATATTGCCCTTTCAAGCCAAATTTCCCTTTCTTTGTTCAAAAGAACCCGTTCCAGAGAAAACATGCTCTCATTCTCTTTCTGCTCTAAAATTTAGCTCTACCAAGGCTGGACTACTCTGCAGCATGCACTAGCGCGCGCGCGCGCACACACACACACACACACACACACACACACACATAACCTAGAGATGTGGAATGAGCGATATAGCAGAAAACCATCACTTCCTTTGTCAGAACAGCAGGAAATGAAATGTTGCGACCCACAACTTCTCTCTCCTCAGCATTCCCCATAGCAACGTCCCTTCTGAGCAGCTTGTACTTTTCAAGGAGGCTGAGTGTGCAAGGGACATGTTCAGACAGGTTCTATGGGTTGGGGAAGAGCTGGTTGATCAAGATGCAAGCGTTGCCATGCTTCACCTATCATGGACTCCACTGGGTTGCCAACAAGGGCAGGCTGAGTTTTCTTGTGATGATCTCAAGTAGGTAGACTCCAAGGCTGTCTCACATCAAGGGCCTGCAAGACTGGCCTGCAAGGCACAACCAGCAGTTCTGCAGTGCAAGCTCTTTCATCACAGGAAGTGTCTGAGTTAGCAAACAGCAACGCAGGATGCAGTGGAGCTGCCAGTGTAGTTTTATTTCCTGCCATGGCAGCACAAAAGTGCTGCAAAAAGTGAGCAGTAGCAACCCTGCACCTAAGAGTGAGAAGGGTAGAGTGGCACTGTACTCACCTGCCCTTGACAAGGACTATTCATTGACAGAAACTCCCTTCTTCTATGGGCGTGAAGTGGAAAGTATTTGAATATTTCCATTGTCTATGCAGACTGGTATCTGTTTGCTTCTGACTGCTCAGGATGGGGGTGGGGGATCCAGACTTTGGAGAAACGGCCAAGTCAGAAGACATAATTTTTGTTTAGAAGTATGAATGCAGGGCTACCTTGACTATGGTATGCTTGGCAATGGAGGCTCTAGTGCTACTGCTTTTGTGAAATGGCTCTTCTCTTTTGTTTTGTTTTGTTTTTTTGGTTTGACAGATGGCGGCTCAGTCTGAAACAGACGGCTCAACTTTACTTAAGGCCTACCTTTGGCAAACAGTACTGCCAATTGGGGAGAAGGTGCCAGAACTGGGACCAGAAAGCAGCAGAGGCAGGTGCAAGATACAGAAATGGAAGCGAGTACAAAGCCAGCCTGAGAGTGAAGTCCCTGAGCCTGACCATGATGATCTCCCACCATTGGTTTTCCAAGACAGCAGAGTGACCACCAAGAGATCTATCTTCCAGAGGGCTTTCTCTCTGCCAGGCAGGATCAGCAAGGCCCAAGAGAAAAGCAGTAAGCTTAGCATGAGGAAGTACCTGCGTTCCATGTCTCATTGGAAGAACCAAGAGGGGCCCTCCCAAACAGTGTGGGAGACCAAGGAAACAAGCAAAGGTAAGGGAGGCTGTATTATCCTGCCAATTATGTGATGGATCCAGATGGGCTTCTGCATAGCTTGGGATTGGAGAGAAGAACCCAGTGCAGAGCAATAGTTAGTAAAATTAGGCCACAGTCCAAGGCCAGGTGTACACTTTCTGCTTTCCTCATCATCAATACCTGCCAGCCACCATTTTCTGACTGCAGGAAAAGACAGCAATGTCCTCTGTTCATTGTCATCTTTTTTGTAAATGCAATCCCCATCTGTTCTTTGAAGCTCAGCTTTGAAAGTTCTGTTTTCTGTCCTAAGCATCTTAAACAGTTGGTTCCCGGGGTGGGCTTCAGCTGGTTCGCACTGGTTCAGGCATACAAGATGTTAATTTACATCCAGTTTGGTGAACTGGTAGTTCCGATGACTGGTTGGCCCTGCCCCACCCAACCCCGCCCCACCCAGGAGTCCCCACATGGCCCATTTTGGATCCCAGGTAAGTGCAGGGGATGTGTGGAGCCCAGGGAAGTGGAAAATGGACCTCCCAAAGGCCCAGGGAGGGCAAAAATGGGCCTATTTCTGACCTCCAGAGAGTCTCTGGAGCCTGGGAAGGTAGAAAACAGACCTCCCAGAGGCCTGTGGAAGGTGAAAATGGACCTATTTCCAGCCTCCAGAGAGCCTCCGGAGCCCAGGGAGGTGGAAAACAGGCCCTCCACAGCCTGTTTTCGCTCCCAGGATGGTGCAGGAGGCCGACTAGGCCATGCCTACCATGGACATGCCCACCCAGCAACCGGGCAGAGAACTGGTAGTTAAATTATTTGAAGCCCTCCATTGGTTGGTTCCCCATGCTTCATTGCAATCTAGTGACATCCCCAACTCCAATTAGCTATAGTGCCTGGCATACCTCCCTACTGAAGTGCCTGGTTGCTTCTCTATATGATTATTTCATGCTGACCTGCTGGGCTGCAATGTTCTCAGCTGGTCAGAAGCTTCCTTTTCCCACTTCCAATGGCCTGTATACAGGGGTGGATTTCTACCGGTTCTGTCCACCTCTATAGAACTGGTAGCTCTGAAGAGCAGCAGATGCTGATGTTTTTGCCCACCCACCTACCCAGGCTTTTACCTGATCTTTATTTCCTGATTTTTCAACTTCAGCTGCCGAACAAGGCACAGCTGCAGTTAGAAAAGCAGGAAAAGAGGGTTGTTTCAAAGGCTGCTTCTCTGCAGGCAGCTGCTGATGACAATTCACAGGCGAGCGGCTTGCAGCCTTCAGGGAAGCTCGTAAATCCCGAACCGGAAGTTAACCCTGTCGTATCCCACCCCTGCCTGTAAAGAAGCTGTTAAGCGAGAGAGTGAAGACAGCCCCTCCATAATAGTTCACAGAATATGTGGTAGATGCAGTAATAGAATGCTGAATCTGGCAAGATTCTGTATATAGGTGTGAAAATAATAAATAATTCAGCCTGGGAGAATCACCACGTGTCATTCTTAGATTTTTGGCCTGACATCATGTGTGCAACATTTGGGAAAGCAAAGGAAAAGAACAAGGACTAGATAATCCCTAAAAGGAAAAGACAGGTTCCCTATATAAAGGCCAGCCACTGAGGCTTATCTTTCCTGCACTGAAGAGCAAGAAGCAGGGGAATGACCAACCAGGCGTTGTGGCAGCCATGTCTGGATGGAAATTTGTTAAGTCAGTTTCAGAACGCTTGAGAGCAGCGTACAAGTACCTGCCATTTGGAATTACCCTACATTTTCTCTCACCTATTCTCCATTCTATCTGATGCTTCTGCCCCTTTAAATATCTATAGGGCTCATTCTGTGTTTTTTTTTTAATCCAAAATTCATGCGGGCATGCCTAATGCAATTCCTAGAACAGAAAAAAGTAGTGGTGATGGTGGCCTTCTCCACTGGGTTATAGGTAGACCAAGGAGCTCATGCTGCTGAACTGGTATGCTTCATTCATGTCACAGAATTTGGATTGCTTGAGCTAAGTTGGCACAGTCCTGGCCTGTTGAAACCTGAGTTAGTTATTATACAACAGATTTCAGGACTTTGTTCCTGTATGTGGGATCTCCTTTTTTTGTAATCCTCCATCCAATTCTTTAGGGGATTGTTATGATGATGATGATGATGATGATGATGATGATGATGATGATGATGAATTTGCCTCTCGACCATTTTAGGGAATAATAATGCTTGCTTTTAGCCACAGTTTAGAAAGTATTGTGCAATAAAATAGCAAATTGTTTTTCAAGCTTCTCTGCAAAAGCGTTGTTGTTACTAAATAGGTAGCAAAGTTATCTGAAAGTAGAGAGAAACCACACTTGTACTTTGTCTACACATCCATTCATTGTACTGCCTTTAGGGTTTTGTGAAAATGGAGTGTCAGGAGATCTTACTGATATTACTCAGTTTTGATTCCTGCTTGAGCTTAACAAGAGCCACAATAAAATGTGTCCTAGTTAAATGATCAGTAGAAGAGCTATTTTTCTTTTCTTTTGTCCGTCCTTCCTTTTTTGTCAAAAGACATTTTTTCTGTGATACTCTGTGAACCTGCTTGTGATGGACTGCCTTGCCTGCCTGCTTCTGAGGCAGCAATCCTTTTATGAAGGCATGAGAGCAGGGTGTGACAATGGAGTATGAACATGGATTAGGCTCTGTGTATTGTTAAGATGAAGCCAGGGTTCATTGCAGTGTGATTTAGAGTACATTGCTGATCTCTGGAACTTTCTTTTTAAATCTTGGGGTGCTTATGTTACATTGTAAGTACAAACTGTACAAAGTGGTAATAATTGTTGGCAGCTATTTCTAAGAAAACTAATCTCTCTCTCTCTCTCTCTCTCTCTCTCTCTCTTTCTCTCTCTCTCT